TAAGATTGTGATTGGTTCAACACCTGACCCATAGTAGTCAAATATATCATTACCTCGCTCGAGAGATACACCCCCCAAACTTATGATTTTCACTCAATTTTCTCGGGATGCATCCTAAGTTGAACTTATTCAATTTTATTCTTACCCTCTCTTGGTTTAGATAAATCTCACTCTTACAAGTTCACACTTCAATAAGTCAAGATTCTCCTATATGTTTGATTGTTTTAACTACCCTTAAGATTAGACTAAGTTACTTGCTCCTTATCAAATGTGTGGTTTTGTCAACTAGATGTCTGGGATATAATCAATGTATTTGAGTCTATTTTTTTTTCTTTTCATTTTCATGTTTTTTTCAATTTTTTAGTATCTTTTCATTTGCTTTCTATAAAACCCATGTAGCAAGCTTTAGGTCGATGACTCTCAAATCAGATGACCATAGGGTACAAGGTTTTAAATCACCCTCATAGGCTTAATCACCCAAGTTATATAGGCTTGAAAATATGCTTTTTATGTACTCAAAGATTAGTGTAATGCCCCATTTTCTTTTAGACATCCAATTTCTAAAACTAATCTCTAACTTAAAACTTTCACCTCGTTTTCATCTCATTAAATTTTAGACAATCCACACAAGAGTTTCATGCACAGAATCCTTACTCATCTCAATGTTTCTCTGTAACTTTTCAATCATCTCCAAACTAACTTATAGTTGGATTATGGAGTAATACACTAGAGGTTACTTGGGTTTAGTTACTACGTTCAACTATCATCTATATAATGAACCGCATAACTAACTCAATATACTAAACATGAGTAACGTGTATAGAGAATGTCAAGTTTTATATAAACAGATTTAGATTAATCTAATACTACACTATTTTCATCATTCATAGCTGATACCTATTCCAATAATCACATCATAGCCGGTATAGTTATTAAACCCACACAAGTATACAAAACTATGATAATAATCTAATGCTAAGAGATAAAAGCTAGAAATAGACAATTTTTTTTTACACAAATATGCAAATATTGCAGTAAAATGACGAATGTTGGGATTATTTCGCCATCCCTGATTATAGGTATTAGAAAATGGAACATAAGGTTTGTTATATGTGCCTAAGGCATTGCAATGTTCTTCATAAATCCCCCTCATCTCAGCGAGAGCAAAATATTCATGCGCTGGATGATCAATTCCACCACACACACAACATGATCCAGAAGATTCAACACGGGCAACGGTAGGTGTAGGCTTTGAGTTCTTAGTGCGTAGGTTTTCAATTCTCTCTAGTTAAAGCTTCCACTTTAGCCCTAAGACTATCTTTGAGTTCTTAGTGCGTAGGTTTTCAATTCTCTCTAGTTAAAGCTTCCACTTTAGCCCTAAGACTATCTTCACCTCTAAGATGATAAATGCCTGCACTATAAGGATTTCCTATGGGTCGTGACCTATTAGTGTTATCAGTGGCGCTATGGCCAGTCCAGGTGTGAGTTTTTTCAGCTAGGTCATCTAAGTACTTTATAGCCTCGTCATGATGTTTTTGTAAAAAATTAACCGTTACACATCATCTCAATAAATTGACGCTCCCTAAATGTTAGTCCCTAATAAAAATAACTCACTATTCGCCAGGTCTCATAACCATGATGGGGGCAAAGAGCTTGTAACTTTTTGGATCGTTCTCATACTTGGTATAAGGGTTCACTGTCTTTTTGAGTGAATGAAGAAATTTATTTTTTCAAAGCACTAGTTTTATGATGGGAAAAATATTTGTTGAAGAAAGCTCGAGTCATTTCACCCCATTTTCCAATGGAACGTGGTCTCAACGAATACATCCATCTTTTTGCTCTATCTTTAAGTGAGAATGAGACAAATTTAAGCTTAAATGCATCTGTTGTACCATGTTGATAGTGGAAGGTTGCAACCACTTCCTCAAATTCCCTAATATGCACGTATGGAATCTCATTTTCGAGTCCATGAAAAGTGAGAAAAAGTTGAATCATTCCCGATTTAAGTCCTAAAAGGTACATCATGCTCACTATCAAATTCCCTATAATGAATTTTTACGGCTAAGCATTTATCGTCTATGCAAAAAGTTGGATATATAAATTAGTATATTTTTGTAAAACTATCATTTCTTTGGATAATTAGTTATAGTAGTCAAGGAGTATGACATGGGTGCAATTTCCTTTTTCTGGTGTTAACTTCACTAAGGCAATAGTTATGTCCCTGTTTGGCGGAAATTCAAATTCAAATTTTAATATAATTCAAAGTCAACAATTAATTTTAACCATATATTTCATGAGATGTACAACTTTTCAATCACATATTCATCAATTTTTTTTCAAAATTTTCTAAAAATATGATTTTAATTCTCACCAATCTGGCCTAAATTTCAAAGATACAAGGTTTTGGAATTGACATTTTCTAAATCAATATTTGGATTCCCAATTTTAGGATGTCGGAAAAACAATAATTTTACTAATTAATGTTTAAACTTTTCATTCCTCAATTTGAGTATCTTTGACTTGTTGCAAAATTTATAAATAGTCAAATTTTATTTTTAATTGCACGTTATAATGGATCCATAAGATCACTCATTTCTATCTATTTATAAATTTAACTGTTTTTAAATGGAAATTTAAATTGTTGGTGAATTTTTTTTTTTCACTTGACAAAAATTAAAATCAAATATTATTTTTAATAAATTAAAAATTGCGTTCATAAATTACTTTTTAGAGTCATATTTTATTTTTATGAAAATGAACTTGTTACAAACTTGTAAGAAAAATTACTAGAACAAAGACATGAATATACAATGTTTATCTTTAACGCCCTCAAAACATATTGAAATTTTCACCATTTTACCTCCTTCAACTCACATTACAACCATCTATTTCTAAATTTCAATCCTATAAAGATCCCAAATTCAAAATTAATAAATTCATTAAAATTCAGTGCTGTATTTAACCAAGAAAAAACACACCCATAAAACTAGGGCGCCCCCTATATTCTCTATAGATAAGGATGTCACCTCGGAATCCATCGACGGCTCACATAGAGCCACTTGTACATCTGGGATCTCTCATCCCCGCTAGCTCCTGATCCGGGTCAGTTCAAGATGACCAATCAGAATGCAAAATGCCACTGCACGAGGATTGGTTGGTGCTATAAATAGTAAATTGTATGCCAGCACTTTCGGTCAAAGCGAATCGTTAGAATTCTCCAGAGAGTTTTCTTTGTAAATTTTCGTGATGTCGGCTACCGGAGAAGTTGAGAATCTCGCCAAGGAACATTCGCAGCCAGCGGTGAAACCTGTCAAAGAGAAGAAACCAAAGGAGAAAAAGCCTAAAGCTACAAAAAATGCCTCGCATCCTCCTTACTTTGAGGTATAACTCTTAAATTTTTATATCGTTTCAGGGATTTTCAAATTTTTTGTCTCTTTTATTCATTTTTTCATTCATTAATTAATTGAAGTTGTGAAAAATGGGATATGAATTTGGCAGATGATTAAGGAGGCTTTGGTGGCACTGAATGAGAAGAGTGGATCAAGTCCATATGCAATTGCAAAGTACATGGAAGATAGGCACAAGGCAGTGCTTCCTTCGAATTTTAGGAAGATTTTGGGGCTCCAATTGAAGAACTCTGCAGAAAAGGGAAAACTGATAAAAATCAAGGCTTCGTACAAGTTAATTGAGGCTAAACCCAGTAAGAAGGAGGCTGCAAGGAAGCCGAAACAATCTGCTGCGGTGAAGGCCAAGAAAACAGGTGTGAAGAAGGTTAAAGCTGTGAAAAAGGCGAGTCCAGCAAAGCCGAAGCAGCCCAAGAGTATTAAGCCTAAGAGGGCAAAGAAGGGCGTTGCTTGAAAAAAATGGGCGTGTTTTTTTATGTGAATATTGTGTGTGAATAGTAGCTGCTGGTTTTTGTTGCATTACAAACGAAGTTTCTAATGAATAAATGATTTTTAATTTAATAAATATGATTGTCATCGGATTCAAATATTCCCAGTATGAGAATGAAATTTGACCCTTGAAAGTACTTGCTATTTGTGTTGTGGTCAGTGCTTTCCATTATTGTAGTTCGTAAATCCCAAGGCTTTGTGGATGGACAAGTTCAGTGTCGTATCTGTGGTGTGGGATTTGATTACTGTTTTTTGTGTTATGAATCACTTTTATACATAATTTATTTCAACATTATACATTGTCAAACATGCAAATACTTTTATATAATTCAACAATACGTTCACACACACGTGGGGAATTAACCGGGCTCTTCCTTGCTGCGTTAGGAAGGTTGAAAATGAAAATTGAATTGAATCAGGTAGTTCAACTGAAGAAAATTGATTTCATTTTACAAAGAATTATATTGAACAAAAAAATATCGGTATTTAGCAAGTGAAATTATTGAGTTCAAATTTAATTTGATTCGGTTCAATTTTGTATCGTGATTAAATTTTTTTAACATTTATAATATTACATTAATTCAATTAATGATATGTTAATCTTAATTATCACAAAATAATATACAAATAAAAAGTTGTTTAATAAAATTCATTTATCAATATATACAAATTCAATAAATCCATATAAAAAAAATGGTAATATAAAGAAAGATGCAGCTGCTCAACTTCAGAAATGGCAAAAGGATTGAGATTTGAGACAAAGCTAGGTCATTTTTATTCTTTAAAATTTGAATTACAAAGTTAGATTTTGGCTGAAAACAAGAAAAATGATAGGTTAAGCTCAATTAATTAATTGGCAAATAAAACATGAAAAATATATTTTTGGGCTCAATTAATTAGTTGACAATTTTTTTTTAAAATTAGAATAATTTGATTTATTTAATATGAAAAAATTAGGGAGATTTTATTCTGGTCTATAATCGAAAATCAGATCAAATTTGTCGGTTCTTGATTTTGATACTTATTCGGGTATTTAATTTAAGAAAAATCGAATCAAACTGCTCGGCTCGATTTGGATTTCGTCCGTTTCGAGAGTTTTGTCCAATCCTATCAAAAAAATTCAATATAGACAAAAAATTGAAAGTTATAAGCTTTTCCTAGTTAGCCAAAAACTAGGACATGAGCGAGTACCTTCTTGGCCTCGCCTAGTGATAGAACAATTCCCTTGTTTATGGATGGGATACATACAATCTTCAGTGATTACCTTAACACTACAGTTTTGGTAAACCATATAGGATTAGAGAAAATAAAATCGGGATTATCTTTGTTAACGTAATAGGAAACTCTGCAGATTGACCACACATCTTGGCATGAGTTTTGGCGCCAATCATGCACTTTTGTCTGATTTTCCTCCTTTTTGTAATCTTGTTTAATTACCTATTGCCTTTTCCTTTTCCTTATTCATCGACAATGTACAAAACTGTATATAAATATATATATTCATATTGTTGGAAAATTATAACATATTTAGGGTCACATGTAATATATTAAAATATGTGGTGCTATTATTTAAAGAAAATTAGTTAATTAAAGTTGTTGACGTCCAAAGTTGAGTGTGCAAAATTAGAGCCAACTTAAGATACAAAAGATCACTCAAAGGAAATAAATGACATAGGGTCCTGTTATTATCTAGCAAATCTTCTTGCTCTTTCTAATTATGGGGGATCTTTTTGGGTGTTACAATAAGTGTTTTTGGGTATTTCCTCTGAGATCT